GGGCTTCGGGGGTAACCGTACTTAGTGCACGAAAGTGCCAGGTGACTAATGCCAGTATGACGCGAAACGTATACGCGCGCGTGGTGTACAATGCCAGTATGACGCGAAACGTATACAATCGCGTGGTTTTTGATTTTTGCGGCAGTGTTCCGGAAGGAGTCGAAGGACCTAACATAGATATTAAGAAAGCCAGGAAAATTTACTATCCGACGAGATAAATTTCAAGAGCTCCCTGGCTTTTTAAGTAACCGTACTTAGTGCACGAAAGTGCCAGGTGACTAATGCCGGTATGACGCGAAACGTATACGCGCGCGTGGTGTACAATGCCGGTAGGACGCGAAACGTATACGCGCGCGTGGTTTTTGATTTTTCCGGCAGTGTTCCGGAAGGAGTCGAAGGACCTAACATAGATATTAAGAAAGCCAGGAAAATTTACTATCCGACGATCTAAATTTCAAGAGCTCCCGGGCTTTGGGGGTAACCGTACTTAGTGCACGAAAGTGCCAGGTGACTAATGCCGGTATGACGGGAAACGTATACGCGCAGCGTGGTTTTTGATTTTTCCGGCAGTGTTCCGGAAGGAGTCGAAGGACATAACATAGATATTCGGAACGCCAGGAAAATTTACTATCCGACGAGATAAATTTCAAGAGCTCCCGGGCTTTGGGGGTAACCGTACTTAGTGCACGAATGTGCCAGGTGACTAATGCCAGTATGACGTGAACGTATACGCGCGTCTGGTGAATAATGCCGGTAGGACGCGAAACGTATACGCGCGCGTTGTTTTTGATTTTTCCGGCAGTGTTCCGGAAGGAGTCGAAGGACCTAACATAGATATTCGGAAAGCCAGGAAAATTTACTATCCGACGAGATAAATTTCAAGAGCTCCCTGGCTTTTTAAGTAACCGTACTTATTGCACGAATGTGCCAGGTGACTAATGCCGGTATGACGAGAAACGTATACGCGCGCGTGGTTTTTGATTTTTGCGGCAGTGTTCCGGAAGGAGTCGAAGGACCTAACATAGATATTCGGAAAGCCAGGAAAATTTACTATCCGACGAGATAAATTTCAAGAGCTCCCGGGCTTTGGGGGTAACCGTACTTAGTGCACGAATGTGCCAGGTGACTAATGCCAGTATGACGTGAACGTATACGCGCGTCTGGTGAATAATGCCGGTAGGACGCGAAACGTATACGCGCGCGTTGTTTTTGATTTTTCCGGCAGTGTTCCGGAAGGAGTCGAAGGACCTAACATAGATATTCGGAAAGCCAGGAAAATTTACTATCCGACGAGATAAATTTCAAGAGCTCCCTGGCTTTTTAAGTAACCGTACTTATTGCACGAATGTGCCAGGTGACTAATGCCGGTATGACGAGAAACGTATACGCGCGCGGGGTTTTTGATTTTTGCGGCAGTGTTCCGGAAGGAGTCGAAGGACCTAACATAGATATTCGGAAAGCCAGGAAATTTTATACTTAAATAAAAGCTTATAATTTACTTCCACTTAATATACCTGATAGTTAAATTAACAGAATCAACACGCAAAATCTATGTGTATCTTTTTATTTTCTAAAAAAATGCTATATATTACATTTGCTGTTTTTGCTTTTCGAAAAATACTATATTTTTGCTTTCTGTCACTCATCGTTCTGTCTGCAGTAATGAATCGCGGTAAAAAAGTCCGAAGTAAAAAAGTCCTAGGAAAAAATTACGGGTAAAAAAGTCCGAGGCATAAAAAGTCCGCCGTCAATAAGTCCTAAGCCAAAAAAGTCCGGTGAATATTATATTATATAGTATATACATAACAATATTTATATTCAATGATTATAATTATGTACTTAGTATAATAACATAAAATATACATAATATATCAATTAATTAATTAAATTGAGTACCTATTAACTATATCGTCATAATATAAAATATTATACAAAAAAAAATTCAATGATTATAATATTATGTAGTTAGTATCATAACCTAATAATGTATGTTGAAGGGTATATGCATAACCACCCACAACTATTTTGGTGCCTTTTTCGTTGATTTGTATGATTTCTGACATTTCTGACATTTTTTCAGGCACTTACGGAATGTCGAACTATACTAACAAAACGTCGAACTATACTGACAAAAATCACAACTGTTCAGTTACCTATGTACGATATGTAGTTACACGGTGGAGTATGTCCACCACCTATAGATAATACATATCTCTATCTATATTAACTAGGTATATCGGATGTATATCAGATATAGGTACGAGTAAAACTCGACAAACCAGATAATTAAGATAAAAGAAATAGTATTTGATTATTACATGCAACTAAAAGTCAAGCAGTGTTCAAAGTCCAAAAAGTAGTTATTGGTACATACGAGATTATTTATTAATTTTGTGCGCGTCGCCGGGCGGCATTTTTCTCCGGGCAAGTCACGATTAGGTTAGATACCCGTCTGCAATCCACCGTAGCCCGTAGGTAGATTACCTACCTGATATACTGTTGCATACTGTCCACAATCCAATTCGTATTATTGTATTTTGAAAAATCGGAAAAAAAATGCGTACCTAATAGGCATTTAAGAATTTTAATTTTAATATACATAGTTATTTGAAAAAGTGGCCTAACGCGAAAACTCCCGCGAATTCCCGGTGGTCCAATCCGTCAATGGTTATATCCCTCGAATATTTTTGGGCCTTTTTTCGAGTAGGCATCGAGTACCTATGAGTTTCGTATTATGGTTGGTACCATAAATGCGCCGGTTATGCTAAAGTAATTTTACTCTTATTGTGGACTGTAGATTATAATAATAAATAACAATTGAGTCACGATTTAACTTGATTTTTCTAGATATTACGTTTACAATATTATGCGAGGTCTTACGCAGTGTAGGTACACCAATAATAACGAAGACCTCGAGACTACGACGACGACTAAAAAGTAAAAACTATTACTACAAATCATGACATTTTCACTGGTTGTTTATATTAGCATTTTTTGCTATACACGATAACATTTTCAAAATATTTTAACTTGGTTTTTTAGGTCCACTTTTTTAGGTATTTTCTCTATAGATGACAATGAAATTAGTTTCGTTGGGTCAAAAAGCTTTAAAATGCAATACAAGATTCCTCATAAGTTTGTCTACCTTAATCAAAAAAAGAAATGTCTACAAGCAAATCAAATAAAATTTTTTGAGCGTTTGAAGTTCAATTTTTGTGCAAGATTGAATATTCACTAGATTTCTCATGTAGCGATTTTGTTATTTTGATGTAATTTAAAATCGAATAACTTAATGAATTATTGTCATTCAGGATTTTACATAATTTATTATTATATAAGAGAACAGGCCTTTTTTATGTTCCAATTTTTTTTTTCACAGAGTTGTTCCAAATACCTTCCCCAGTGTCACCACGTCACCCGATTTTCTTATTTTATCAGTTTGGTAGGTACCGAAAATGGTTGAAAAATACCGAGTTCATTTTTAATTCAAATATTTTGTAGTTTTGTACATTGCCAGTATTTACAGCCTTTCCAGTTTGTTTTGTACATATTATTATTTATTAATTGAAGACTCAAACATTTCATATCGTCATATATTATGGTATATTTATCTAAAAAAAGAGTAATTTGGTGGTGTGGGAGGCTTTGCCCCCCGCGGCTCTATTTTCTGAAATTAACTGGACCCTCTCCATGACAAATTCCTAAATACGGCACTGGGGAGATTTAAATTAGCTTTAAAAATATTAAAATATCTAAACAATTATGAAGGCGTATACTGTACAATGACTACGGAGGGGCGGCATTGCATATTATATTATAATTGTCGTGAATCCACTTTCAATGGCGCGTATAATACGCGGATTTTTCTCCCCGGCCACTCGCCGATAAGTGATAACATTATGATTGAAATTACTGTCGGGCGGCAGTTTCACTAAATCCGTCGACCATCGACCGAATTACTAAAATAATATTGACATCGACATACCGACGTTATAATATACGATAACACGATGTTACAATATAATATATTTTCAATTACTTACATACATTTTTATTTTTAGATAATTATAATTTATCTAGCGGTATCGGACTCTCATGTGACGAGCCGCCCCGGGTATTATTGGTCACAAAACGGCACAACGTCAACCAAGTGCAGTGTTTATTTACCATATGTACGAATTATTGTTCATGCCTGTTGTACATGTTTCGTCTCGACGACAGATTTCGTACGGCGTGGCGGGGGATGGGGTAGTGGTAGCGGTAAGTGATAACATTGTTTCCGTGGTGCTACCACAGAATAACCAGAAGAGACACCTTTTCAGTTTAACATGGGTTCTTATGGGGCACAGATTTGCAACACCTGGTGGAATATCAGTGCTGCCGGTAGAAAGATAATTCCCATTATTCTTTGTTTCTAGCGCGACTGATATTCCCTGAACAGAGGCAATTAGTAATTACCTTTAGCCGACGATTATAAAGAATCTTTATAATCGTGCTTTAGCCTAACCTAATAAGTAATAAAGTTGTAAGTTGCAAGTTTGCAACTTGCTTACTCGCCTCAGTGTCTTTTGTGTTTATGTTCCAAAATATGAAGTCTGTACTCTGTAAAGTGAATAACTGATTTTTCAATTTCTGTGTTAGTTAATTTTTATTTGAATTATAAAATGTATATTTTAAATTAATAACATAAAATTTTTTGTCTAGCATAGGTAAGTGTAGATCATGAAATATATATTTTAGATCATAGGTGCATTGAACAAATAAATCTCAAAATACATTGTAGGTTTAAACAAATTTATTACAATTACATGTATATAATATATTTACAAGTTACAACTACCTAGGTACATATATACAAAAATAAAAAATGTGTATTGTATAATATTAAGTAGGTACTTATACGGTAGATACCTTTATACATATTAGTAATTTTTTTAGTCAATTAATTCTAAAAAGTTGTATAAAATGGTAAAATATGACACAAAATTTAATAATATTAATTATAAATGTTTTAGAATTGATAATTTCCTATTTTTACGTTTAGTTTCAGATAACATTGTTCTATTTAAAAATTTAACACTAGAAAAAATTCTAAAACGAATAAATAATTTCATAAGAAATTGCTTATTAAATAACTCACATGGATGATTAAAACGTACATTACATAGAAAATCATTTAAAAGATAACCAACATTATCTCTTATGGCAATTATTGGAAACTGTTCAATAAAAATATTTTCTAACTTAAGTATATAATTATAAAAATCATTGTGGGGCATTAGTAATTTACCAAAATTAGAGTCATTGTTTGAAGAATATGATTTAAAAAAAGATAATAGAAACGATTTGTCTATAGTTTTTTGGCAATTTGCATAGTCCACACAAACTTGACATGAATGGATTTCTAAACATTTCTTCATCAAATATCCACATACGTAAGTATAAGCATTAGCCTCTGGAATATTCAGTTTACTGTAATCCACTGTACCAACTTGTAAGGATTTGAACTTAAATATATGTTTTTCCTCAGGAGCAAGCACATTCATTATTTTGTTATTGGGCTTGTCATTCATATGGCCTAGAACTTGGTCCAGATCTTCAATGCAATTAGCCCCAGGTGAGGTGGGTCAAAAATATAAATCACTTTTTCTCCATCCACTTCAAAAAATGGTTCTTCAGGAGTGACATGATTGGAATTGGAAAATTTAATAAAATTTGAACCTTGATCAGTGATGAATGATTTCACATTCAGTTTAATACTTCGAAGTCTGCGTATAGTTGAAAAAATTATGAGGTTCAGATCAGTGCCAGAACAGCTGTTGGAAACAAGATAATATGCAATAGGCTGCTTCCAATTGCTGTTGATTCCTCTGATCATTAGAACAAGAGCATATTTAGCTGGCTCGTAAGTTCTAAATGCACCAGATTGGTTAAAGCCAATAATTTGGTCTTTAGAAACATTGTAAAACAAATTTGTTTTCAAAGACATTTCGTCTGCACATAAAAAGCAATCTAAGGCTTCAGGTTTAAAGGTGCTGATTTTGAATTCTAAGAAGTCAAATAGAAAATCATTTAGTCCGGGTTGTAAATCATATTGCTCAGTGACTCTCCTTAAGGTCCGAACAGTTGGAAGAGATAATGATTTTTGAAGAAAATTAAACACACCGGGGCTGATGAAATAAATTGTTAGTGCAAATTGCTTTATCTGCTTGGAATATCGTTGGCCGCGCTGTGACTTGTCTTTGTTTTGAAAATTATTCTCTACTATTAAGAAAATTGATGGTGGTAAGTGTTGTTTACAAACTTGCATGCAGTATTCAATTGTGGTTGTATGTTGTAGTTGATTTTTTAATTCTGTTACAGTGTTGAGAGCATTGGTAAGTCTATGTCGAAGTACCCGTTTTCGTGGTGTTCCTGAAGACAAAAAGTTTGGTGTTTGAACACTTGACGAAGATGTTTCAACAGAGGTAGAAGCGTCATATGAATCAACACTGATTGAACCTAAAACAAAGAATAATAGATTATTAATTATTATAATAGGATTAGGCTGATCTGCAAATACAGTAGAAACATTTAAAATAAGCTGTAACATACGTAGTATTGAACAAGATTGAGAAGCAAGAGGTGTCGAACAAGATGGAGGGTCGTCAATTGCAAATTGGTCATTTAACGGTATCAATTCTTCACTATTATGTAAGGATGATATTTCATTTTCTACAATGTTACCTAGTTAAAAAAAAATAATAATTACAAATTACTTAATTTTTACTTTCTAATTAGGTAGTGACCAGCTTTGCACAACGCTAGCCAGTGTACACTAGGTATACAAGTAAACAATGAATAATGATGCTTACCTTTAAACAACGTTGGTATTGCGTTAATTGAGAGCCTTGACTTTTCAGCATTTATATACATTTTATCCTCAAAATGTAAGGAACATATTCTATAGTTTTTGTACAAAACTATAGGTTCAATAGAAGGTAAATTTATTGGACCACATTTTTCAATCCAAACGTCACATCTAAATTTGGTTAAAACAAATATATGTATAATATTAAATATAATACACATAGAAATAAAATAGCATTTGATGAATTTGCTTTTTGATTTAACTTCCAATAACTAATTAATATTGCTTACCTTGCATGATCCTTCGGAAATCTATGGAATTTTGTTCCTTCAATTTTTGAGGAAGAAATGCTGGTGCAGTACAGCAAGCAACATCTATTTCCTCCCGAATACATTTAAAAAACAAAAATTACGATTAATTTGATTTAATTTCTTAATTAATAAAATAATTAAAATATTAATTTCAAATAAGAGCGCAAAAGTCAAACTGATGTTTTGTAAACAATCGCAGATATATGGACAGCTGATGTCCAAAGTTAGTAAACAAACCCTTATCAGTGTGACCAGACAGAAAGAATTTTACATTTTTATTATATACATGGATACACTGATATTCCACAAAGTTGAACAGATTTTTGAGTGCTCAGCGTGTGTCCATTCTGGTTATTCTGTGGTGCTACCATGTACTATTTGAAACGCATAAAATCTAAATATAGTACAAGACGTTTATTACGAACATTGTATTATTCTGTGTTACGAATTACGATGCTTTATATAAGTAAATAACGATACGTCGATGTCCCGTGTACAACGATTCCCAGCAATGTACTTGATTGGTTTTAAATCTCACGTGTAGTATGTTTAGTCATTCGGATATAACGATCTTATTTTCTTGGTTCCCTTAAAGGTCGTTATAAGCGAATATTTTTATGAAATAACATGCGCAATCAACTAGAAAATCGACTATATGTCAAATATCTTAAAAAACTTGTGGCTTACTTACTAAGAGTCCTACTGATTACCAGTGTCGGCCTGGCACACCAAAGGGCAAAGGCCCATGGATCAGTTTTTTAAGTGGCCCCATAGTGAAATACAAAATTTACCTGACATTTAGGTGAGAAAATGCTCACCAAATTTCTTCCTTTAAAAATACATTTATTGAAATTCTGATTTTTAGAACTTTTAAGTATACCTAAACACCATATACTCAAATTCCTGATATTCTTTGTATTACTATTAAGGGGGCTGCAGCACTACATTTTTTCCATACATTTAGACCAATAAGCGAAAGAAAATTAAACATACTTCCAGTAGCTCGATTTCAATTTTGAAAACGGAATTCGATTTGCATTCCTCTTTTCTAAGTTAACTCGGAAGTGGATTTTTATATATTTAATTTCGTCCCTATCTACAACTAAGTTAAGTATAAGTTTATTTTGAGAAAAATGTAAACTTATTATGCATTATATTATATTAACTAAAAATAAAATCGTAAATCTACTTCCGAGCAAACCTAGAAAATAGACTAACGAATATAATCATCTTTTCAAAATTAATATAAGTCGATCAAAACAAGTTGAATTTTCATTTCTCTTTTGGTACTGTCTGCATAAAATTGCTGTCCTAGAGCAGGAGCAAAAGTATTTACTTCGTGTTCATTGACTTGTGCATGCGCGTATGGGCGTTTGAACATTTCTAAGAATCTTAGTAGCCATAACAATAGTAGCCTCATTCCGAACGATTATAAATCAATTAGAGCTAATGACTACGGAAATGAAATAATATATTATATAATAATTCTAAAGTATAAAATATATGGTAATAAGTAAATTTATGTTACTACAAAACAAAATATGATTAGTTGTGTTCAACTATTCAGCCGGTTAAGTTCAATTTGTTTTTCTTGTCCGTGATTACTTTTTTAAATTGTAAAATGAATGAAGACTGGCGTTTTGGTAAAAAAGCGCGTCTCAAGCTATGTGCACCACGGAAAAAACCAAATTTGGCTAACTTGAAACGGAAAAAACTCGAAGATCATGAAAACAATGATGAGGTAGGTATTTATAATATATTGAATAGATTGAATTTTTTTTTTGTACCTATCTGTTTACACGAATAACGTTATAAGGTACATTAAAAACTTCAGTGGATTTACGCGCAAATACAATAAAAAAAAAGATTCTGATTCCGATATGAAATATTTATAAATAAGCTTTAGTTAAATTTTCTATAGCACACAAAAGCACACATTTTATATAATTTGAACTTCAAATGCTTGTAAAAAATTAAAGTTCTGGTAAATATTTTTTTAGATTCTGAGCGGAGCGATTAATGTATTGATTTTACAATGCTGTTTCCCAATAATTTTCAAAAACGTGGTGAAAAATAAATGAAAAATTAAAAAAAAAAACGGTTAATTTTATGCAAAACTGATTTTTGACAAAATCGATTTTGGCTTTTGGTGTAACTCTAAAAGAAATTACAGTAGATACATGAAATTTTGATTGAATATTTATATAAGCATTGTCTTCACACCATAACATTTTCAAAATATTTTTTTTTCTATAAATAACAATAAAATTTTGCTTGTTGGATATAAAATCTTGAAAATTTAATAGAAGGCTCCTAATATTATGTTTCAAAGGCAGAAAAAAAATTAATTGTCACAATTTTTTATAAGCATTTAAAGTTTAAATTTTGACAAATTACGTAAAAAATGACGAAAATTTGCAAATTATTTTGAGTTAGAAATTCATAAAAAAATTTCTTTTTAAATATAAGATTTGAGAATGTAATACAAGATTCCTCATATGTTATTTGTCTATTTTAATCAAAAAAAAATTTGCACGCGTTTTTAAATATTATTTATATTGTTTTAAACATTTAATTTAAAAATATATATATTATATATATTATGGGACTTTTAGTGGTAATGCTGCTACGCGATATGGAATTGCACACGAAGATATGGCTAAAGAAGAGTTGGAAAAAATAATTGGAAAAAAAATTGAAAGTGCAGGTTTATTTGTAGATGCAAATTTACAATTTTTAGCGGCGTCTCCCGATGGACTAATAGACAATGATAGTCTCGTCGAAATTAAATGTCCAGCGTCTGCTAAGAGTTTTACTCCAGAAGAAGGAATTTTAATGAAAAAAATAAAAAGTTGCACTATTGAAAACGGTCAACTACATCTAAAAAGAAATGATAGTTACTTTTATCAAGTCCAGGGTCAACTGCACATAACACGCAAAATGTTTTGTTATTTTTGTATCTGGACACCTAAAGGTAATATTATTTTGTTTTGAACTAATAGGATTCTAATTAAAATGTATAATAAATAAGTTATTTGTGTACAGGTTTGATGTATGAAAAAATTGAAAAAGACGATGATTTCTGGGATAAAAATATGAAGTCTCAACTAACAACGTTTTTTACAGAATACTTTTTATCTGAAGTTTTAAAAGACAGTCTTATATTGAATGAATAAATATAATATTTACGAGAAATTGAAACTAATTGATTAATTGAAATTAATGTTTTTATTATTCATTTGATTGTCAAATCATTTTTTGGTTATAGTTCATAATCATAACTATGAAATAAGAAAGTGACTCTCTTGTGTAGTATAATGTAATTGTACATTTTTGCGAATTGCTGCGAAAGCCGAGTAGTGAGTAGGTAATATAATAGTAAAAG